AACATCAAAGTTTCGCATCTAATTTGCAAATGTTTTAGTTGGTAATTAGTCTAGGGCGAGAGAAAAATCAAAACAAGAAAAACAGTGATAAATCTACACCAAGATAATTTGATGAATTCCATTAGACTTTGATGTGACAATATAATTGCATGCAAATTTATTTTAATGCATATTTACCCACGTAATTGCTGCAAATTTACGTTTCATTTAATCGGCATTGTCAGAGGGTCCAAAACAGACTAAAAGAACAACACGATTATTTTTTGGTAAATTAGAAATAGTCTACTATAGAAATACCCTCTCAATAATTCCTATGTGAGTTTGACTCTTGAATTAATAATAATTAAATGTATTATAAAAACTCTATTATTAATGTTTAAATTTAACGAATAAAATCTTTCCTGAATATATTTATAATAAAAATATACTATATATAAAGTATATGGGAATTAACCCTGAATAACATTAATCGACAACTGTATTTATTATGATCTATTATGCACATAATCCCACCATACAATTGACATTCTTTATGAACTGTGCAAACGCATGTCATTACACAATATACCCTTTTTGCAGTTCTGGGCAGTCAAATGGCGACCATGAAAAAACGGCAAACAGATTATAACTCCCAACTGACACTGGGGACTTTATTATTTGGCCATTGAAAAATGCGAGTCTACCCGAAGGGTGGTTCATTTTTTCGCTGTTGATTTTTGGAGGGGTTGGCGCAAGGGACCCAAGTGGATTTTAATTTTTCAAAGTTAAACAGCGTCGGCGACCCTTTTTTTTTTACACCCGGACCGCTTGACTGGACACTGGGAATTGTAGACCGAGCCATGTTTGCATGAATGTCGCGGCCGGAGCTTTATTGTTTACCTTCGCGACTTTGCACTGATTGATCCCATGGGTGGCTCAGCACGCCCCGATTTCGACGGGCTGCTGGATGTAATTAATTTCGCTTTTTGATTTGCGATTTGTGCCTGGGCAAAAGCATCAAATTGTCACGTAATTATATTTGCGTTAATGATATTTTTGACCCGTCGCGACGGCCAGCGGAAAAGTCAATTAATATTTTTGGTGAATGAACAACAATTTAGACCGTGGCGGCGTTGGTCGACTTCAATTAAAATGCTTTTCGGCACAGTTTCAATGCATGCTGGGATTTTTAATTTTCATTGAAATCGTGACAACCGACTTTATTATCTGTCTCTCTCTCTTTCTCTGTTTGTATTTCTCGCATTCTTTTTATCATATACGTGATTTTTATTTGCGGGCACGCGACTTTAAAAACCCGCTACCAGACGTAATGGCCAGAAAAATGTTTGGCCATTAAATTATATAAGCCTTAAGTGGTTGTTAATCTCACTTAAATTTTATCAGACACAACTTGTTTTTGTTTCATTCTGACTTGCATTAAAACTGAGTGTCGTATTAAATGCAAATTGAGATTGTCTGAGGTTATTATGACACAAATAAGATATCCAGCTAATGGGAATTATGTGACATGTAATTGTCAATATTAAGATAAGTATATTTGTAACTGTTTAAACTATATTAAAGAAGATAAACTAGCAACTAAATTCTTTTTTATTAAAAAATAGATAAACAGACAAATAAACACCTCATTCATAACACATTCAAATAAAAGAACACTTTTAAAACCAATTATGGAGTTCATAGACACAATCATTTACGAATGTCTTCAAGCATTTTGACATTTGTAGGTTTTATTGCATGACAAGCTAATATACAAACAATTATAGTAAAGATGTTTTAGATTTTAAAATGAAAATTCCGCAGACGAAGCTGTGAGCAAGCCAAAACAACATAACATAACTTGTTAATAGAAAACACAAACACTCACATTTATTACGCATTTTCAATTTTAAAGTTGTCCGACATTTGGCTGACATGTTTGATGGCTGATGTTGTTCCATAACACACTTTACATGGAAAATATATTCTTATATATATGTATAAAAATATTATATATATAAATATGCATAAAAAGGGTACGATTACAGACGTGCTGTACTCACTCACGTCCTGCATATCCATGTCAGAAACTTGACTTTACTTGGCTGGAATAAAGTTGAGGAGTAAAGCTCCCTGCACAGGGCAAAAATTAAAACAGAATAGGAATCCAATTAACCATTTATGAGAGTCGTTAAAATATCAAATTATCATTTCCAATAGTCATCGAAGTTATTTCTTAAAAAAAAACAACAACTTGACCATTCAAACAATTATTGGAAGTTGGAGTGAAATTATAAATTTGTATAATTTTGTTCGGTCTTCAATATATTTATGTTATTTAACCTTTGACTTTAATTCTATGAAAAAACTTTTATTGATAACGTTTATTGACGATTTAATTTGGTTTTAAGATAAAGAAAATCTAGATTTATAAGTTTTTTTTCTCTTTACCCAGAAAGTGTGTGGCATGAATTACTATTAATGGCGAGCAATATAAATTGAATTTCATTACATGACAACGTTAATTAAAGGCATGTAAAACTCAATCGGCAATGACGTTTTTTAAATGCAGCCAAGCCATCATCAAGAAGAATCAGAATCAGGGCCCCAGGGGAAAATTGGGAGGTGGTCGGCGGAACATTGATGTTGGCTTAATGAGTCGGCAAATGGCTGATAAAAATGCACAGTGAATATGAAAATCGCTGGCGCTGACACTCGTGACGTCGTGACGCGGCGCAAAGTTCTCGAAACTGACAGGAAACATTGATAAAAGTGCCAACTGACATTGCGTAATGATGGTGCGCCTTAATAGCCTGCTCATTAAACCAGGCGTGCATTAATAAATACAACAAAAAAATGAATAAAACGACGAAAATGAAAAATCACAATGCAATAGCGCAAAAAAATGATTTAACGTGCATCATAAGCTAAAGTTTTTTAATCAAACTTCCTGCGCCTGCCATATTTCACATTCGGCAATATTAAAAATCTAATTAAAACTTAAACAGAATTCTATATTATATACTGGCAGTGCAGAGGCATTTTTGCAGTAAAAATTCATTTAAGCTAAAAGCCCATTAACAATTATGACTTTCCTTTGCCGCCCAAGTAGTTGAAACTTGAAAGGAGGAACGCGCGCTGTTAGTGACGCAGACTCTGCCTTTTCTTTATCCCTCTTCACCCTCTTCACCCCCTCGGCTTTGTTGTAAGTCGTCGGCTGCCCGACTTTCCCGATTCAGGAACTACTATAGTACTTTAATACTATATATATATATATACTTATAAATATATAGCAGAAGCAGCAGCAACATCGGTAGCAACAACGCTTTGGCTTTGCTTCATTTTCAGTTTTACTTTTCAAGTTTTAATTTTTTGAATCTTAATGACTTCTCGTAATAAGTTTTCATTTCTCATAATTTCTTAGGTTAATAGAATCTCTGCAGTTTTATGTGTATGGCTGCTGCCACACTCCATGTAGTGCAACTTTAAGTTCTATAACCGTGGGCTTGGTTAAGATTTTGAGTTTTTAGATTGATTGAGATAATGTATACTACATAGTCTAAATAGTCTTTTATATCTTTAAAGTAAAATGCGTTACATTTTGAAATGAATCAAAGAAGTCAATAAATAAAAAATTCAGTAGTTACAAAAATAGTTAGTAACTCATGTTGAAAATCAAGATATACTTACGTACGTCCATTACTAGTATTATCAAGTAGATATGTGATATACTTTTTCAATATTTAATATTAAAAAACAAGAGAAAAAATCCTACTAAAACGATTAGTAATGATAACTTGAACAATTTAAAACCACTGTGCTCAGCTCATTGAAAGTTTTTTGTTGCAAAAACTATAAGAAAATAGCAGAAAACTATAATTATGGAGTTGACACAAAGTCAGGCAGCAGTAATAGCGGCCGCTGCCAGTGAAAAAGCAGACGACAATAATGACTCGGACGAGTCAAGATTGGATGGCGGATGGGAGTGGGTCGTGCGGCAGGGGAAACAGGACTATGTGGAGTCCTTGGCAGCTATGAATTCTATCAGAGGGGAAGCACTAGAAATGCATAAAAGTCGTACTGCATAAAGCGCAGCAGGACCGCAGCAGTTGACATTTATGTGGAACTGTCACTGCTGGCTTAAAGTAAACTTGGCCAAGTCAAAATGGCTGGGCAAATGGGGTGGCGGTAGGTGGTAGTTGGATTGGACCAGTGAACCACGTCTTGGAAGCGTAAGTCCTTGGGCAGCATTAAATACTTGGCTTCTGATTGCACCGCTCGGCGGTTGCGGCTAATCATAAATTCTAAAGCGGCAAAAGTGCAACAGTAGTAACAATTAACTTATTAATTGGAGAAGACAAAGCCGAGAGAATGTGGGCATGGAAATTGTGAAAATGAAACCGAACGAGGCGTGAATATGGCTTTCAAGGGAGAAATGGTTACGCGAAATGATAATGGGGACACTTTCCACATTTCACCATCCTGCTCACTTCACACCAAAATAATTCACTTTCATAGTTAGTTCTCAATTAAGCAATGCAATTAACCACATAAGAACTGATTTTCTACAGTTCTACATTATCTTTATTATAGATAAAAAAAAAATTTTTATAGAAAAATATTTAATGAACTTAATAACTTTTTCCGTCATAAATAATAATAAAATTCATGAATGCATTTATTTTAATCTTTTAATATTCTGTAAGATTTCTCAGTAAAAAATGTATTCTATAACCATTTTATCCCAAGTGTAGTCACCTCCCACGAAAATCACTCTCTGATTACTTGAGACTTTTGCTAATTAGCGAAATTGATTTGAATTTTATGGTGCGCAAAAATGTGCTGCCTGAAAAGAGGGGGCCATTGAAAGCAGCGTGAGTGGCCAATTCTAATTGAAAGTAAATGCTTTGCATTAAATTTACTCACTCCTGTTAAGAAATCAAACTGTTTTGCAGTGGGACTGTGAATTGCAAGCAAATATCTCAACACTTCTAACCGTTTTTTCGCCACTCTCTTTTCAGCTGTTGTGACATTTTTTTGGCAAAGCAAAACGCAATGGCGCCAAAGACGCCGCCATTTTCGCAGCTCGACAAAATGGCGACAAGGACATCCAGTTGGCTCTGCCGCCTGCTGCTTTTCGGCTTTTGCATTGGCGCCGCCGCCGCTCGAGGTAAATATCCATAAACATTTATATAAATTCATTCGCAGCTCTGGCGCATAAAATCCACCAGCATAGATAGCTTTTGTGGCTACAAAAAATACAAATAATTTAATATACATATATTGTCGGACGCGTTGCAAAAATGAAAACAGCAAACGACACCTGCGGCCTTATGGTGTGCAAAAACTAATTATATATCTGTCAAAGACGAACGAACAAACAATGCCTTCCGCTTGTTTCAGCGTGTACATCCAATACCGCACATAAATATTATTAATTAATCTGATAGTTTCGCTTTAAAAACTCCATGAAATTCAATTAAATTTATTTACTGGGTATGGGCAAGAAATCATTGCTTATGGCAGACATACTTTTTAAAACAGAAATATATCAATGGTGTTAAAAAATGGTGTTTGTTAAAAAAGTTGAATAGACTTTTGTCATTCTTAGTGATTAATATTTTGTATTATTAAGTATTTAATGTTATTACGAAAGTTAAAAAAATTTAATTTATTTCGTTTTTTTGACTGCAAGTAAAAGTAAAGTACTGAGTAATGCCAGCTCAATGGTAAACAAATATTGTACGGCAAAAACTAAAAGGACTTAAAATATAGCAAGCGCCAGCTAAATTTTAACAATTTAAATATCCGTTACGAAATTTCACCGAACACGGATGGAGATACCCCTTTCCCTTGAACTGAATTTGTGAGTCTACAACAAAATCCCCAATTCAACTGTCACACACAAAGTGGAAGAGTCAAAAAAAACTAACGCGATTAAATTTATCAAAATAGTGTTGCAGTTGGCATTTCAAAAAACCCAATTGCATTTGCACGTGATACCCATAGTCGGTTTAAAAAATCAAAATTTTACTGAATCGAAGAAGAGGACGGCCGCCAATCATGCGAATTTTATTGCAATATTGCGACAATTTTTATTAAAATTTTAGAATTTTCCATTTATTTAGCACTCGACCCGGCAGGCGGTCTCCTTCTCCTCAGTCGCCGGCATTTTGCTCTTTGATTTGTTGCAGCTGTGTGAAATTTGGTCAGCAGATATTGGCCAGTAACGGAACGGACACTGTACGTGATTTGATTTCGCTTTACATGCCGGACTCTTTCCGTTTAGTCAGCACAATACTGCCGCTGGCAATTCAAAGTATTCGCTAGTTTCGGGAATTTTAAGGATTCCCTGCACTTTGTTGGTCATTTAAAGCGCATCGAAAGGGAATGCAAATCGAACGCGATACAAATAGTGTGCCAATTGAATTGGCCATTTCGTTAATGTTATGTGAGGGCCACTTGAATGCTTATCGGCCAGACAGGAAATGGTTTCGAATCCGTTTACTTATACGGGGAGACTGAATGAAATCTGTAGTACCATCAGAAGCAGGCCAACGAAAGCAAATTTTTTTAAAGAAAAACTATGTGTACGAATTTTTGTATACGCTAGCTTAATAAAAATTTAACTTAAGTATTGCAAATAATACGAAAATTTGAACGAAACATTTAAGAAATAATATTTTGAGTTTTGCATTTTTAGTATTTTTTGCATTTTTATTATGTTGCAAAACCGTGCTCATTTATCATTTTAAGAACAAGGTATTTATATTTTCATTAGTCAAAAATAAAAAATAAATAAAGTCAAGTTAGATATTTTTTGAAAAGGGTGTCTTATTTTAAGTGCAGGATCCAGTTGCTTCGTTGCTTGGTCAACGGGTCTGTCAACACGCTGATAAGTTTTGCCGTTGCTGCCACACCCCAGTTGTCCTGCATCCTGTTCCACTGGGCTGCTGTCCTGTGTCTCCTGTTGACCCAGGCAAATGCTAATTTTATTATGACAAATGCACAGAGTCAGGTAGGAAACTTCCTTTCTTTTTTTAACTTGCTGTTTCGCAATCACAAGTCTAGACAACACCCAGCTCTTTCCATCACGGAGAAGCCTCATTTATTACGAACGCTAATCTAACAACAATCTGCAAAGTGCTTCGAGTCATTGGTTCGTTAGCTTTGGCTTTATAAACGATGCTCCCGCACTTATCCCATAATCGGAGTCAAGCTACCGTCTTACCCACAACAGCTTCTAAATCACGCCCCACGATGGGGTCTCTAATTGAAAATGATCACCGGTTCGCAGCGGATTCGCCCCACAATTACGTAGTAGCTGGCTTTAACCTAAGTAGACAGTTTGTTAGTTTGTTGAACAACATAAACACGCCTCTAGTAAAGCAAAGGAGAAACAACAAATTGCTACAGAATGAAGATCTTGCAACCAGTTGCGGATATATCTGTATCTACTTGTATGTATCCGCGCCTGCGTGCTGCAGCTCCTTCTTCTGACTGCCTCTGCAATCTTCCCCCACCTCGGTTGTCAGCTCTAATCTAAATAAGCGATTTGTCTGTGCATAACTTTGGCCCAAGACCAAGATCCCAGCCACATGCCAAGAAGTCCACAGAGAAAAAGTAGTTCGATAATTTGCATATTATACACTTTTTAATTGAAATCAGTTCATTTTAAACACAGAAAAGGCATTAAACGAAAATAGTTGCTAACTACATAAACTACTCATATTAATCTCAACCTGATATTCTCTATTTCTTAAACTTTTTTTTAACAAAAGCATTCTTTTTTTTCCACTGTATGTGAAACTCCAATTGCAGAATCGTTTGTGCACCATGGAGTTAAATAATAATTTGTATAATTTATCCAAGGAGTTCTTTTTCTCTCGCAAAAGTAGGAATTCACAAGGCGATAGCTTCTTATGGCCAGCTGATTTATCGAAGCGGGCTTGGAATTTTTTCTGGGCAAGGAGTTGGGTATAAATAATTAACACGTGCATAGTTTGAATTGCAATTTGCGACCGGCTGTTGGCATTTTTATGGCAAGCTAGATTGTCCAGCTTGAAACTCAAGAAGCTGCGACTCTATTCATTTCTTGAAAGCACTTCCGGAAAGCTGTCGAGTGTGGGTCTTTTGTTTTTCCCGAGAAGTTCACTGTCTTTCGTGGACTGTCAAAAGCGTTTAATTGTTTATTCATGGCATTGTTTTGCCAGCAAATGAATGTTAATGACCTCTTCGAGGGATATAAATATTTGATTGGGAAAAGTGTTGAATGGCAGCTATTTAAACATAAATTAAACTTTTCTCTGAGGTTGGTTAAATGGGATTGCCCAATGGTAAATAGAGAAACTCTAAAGTGCTAGCCTCCTTAATAACGTTGATCTAACCACCAGAGTGTCACATAAAATCCAGCCGAAGACACTACCCTACAGTCTGTGGGTAAATTTTATTATTATTGACACAAAACTAATGCAATAGAAAAGTTTGGTCTGACATAACCATAAACAGGACAAGAGCAACTTCAATTGCCACAGCAATGGGCAAGGATTTAGGGTCTCATCAAGGGGCGCCCGCTGTGCCAGATGCTTTGATTGCCGCTCTCAAAGTTTTCCAGCTTGCCACAGCTGACTGTGCCAACAAATTCAACTAATTGTCAGCAATTCATTTACCGAACGGTATGTAACTTTGCCCCACTCCATTGTCGTGTACTTCTGTAATTGCTACAGCATTGCTACGTCTACACTTTCTAGAACCTACATCTACATCACCTATTTCCCACATCAAATTGTGGCTTGTTTCTCGTTTGATTTTCAACAAGGTTGGATAGACTGTGGACTTTGTAATTTTGTTTCGTTAACTGTGATAACCATATATGTGTTATTGAGTTGAGGTTTAGCAAAGAGAAAATATGTTATGGTTGCAAAGTTTGAGGGTCTAACAATTTAAAAATCTTAGAAACGATTTAAAAATGTTAGCCAATAATCGTCTCTTAAATTTCTAATCGTAGTTTTGATGACCACATTACATCTAATGCTATTATTGTTTAAAACCTAACGACAGTTAGTTTTGAACAAAAATTCCATTTAAAGAAGTCTGGCACTAGTGGCTTTCTTGTTAATACTAAATGCTCTTTTTTACTTTAACTTAAACTTGTTTTTGGTCTATTGTAATACATAAATCAACTTTTATTTAACTACTTAATCTTACTGAGCTTTAAATTTATATTACCCTAGAATTTATAGTTGGTACTGCTCCAACTAAATTCTACTTAAATATATGTAGGGCTTTTCAATTCTGCTCATTGTTTTCATCGACAATCGAGGGAGTGCACAAGGAAAACCGATTCTGGGAAGGGATGACTGACTTCTTTGCAGACGCCTTCCTTTAAACCATGTACTCGTACATGTTGTAATTGTTATTATTCTTCTGGTACTGCAGCAGCTTAATTGAAAATATTGTGTGTGTCTGGCTGTGTGTGTTCCTTTGTTTGGATGTGTTTAGCTATAGCCTGCGGCTCCTTGTGCGCCACTCCCTAAATGAAATTAATTGAGGACCCCGGGGCCAAGCGAACACACTTCCCCAATTGGCAACTAAAGTTGCGCCATACATATGTAACTTTTTATACGCCCAATATCCGGCAGCTATTGTTGCAGTGCGGCGGAGCCTCAACCGAACTAGAGGCATCAAAGGGGTAAAGGAAAGGATACTAATAATGAAAGGGTGTTGGCCTACTCCGATACAGGATACAATAGCTGGAAAGTTGATCAATTGTTCGAGGCTGGGTTTTCTTAACAATATGTTCGACATCTTTAAGGCAATTTATGAAAGCTTTTGTTTAAGTTAACTGACCGAGAAAATGTTTACTACATATTAGCAATTAAAATGGGCTCATTCTTAATAAAGGAAGCATTTCTTTTTTTTTTGTTAAATGCACCGATGTTTAATGAATGAGACGTACCACATAAAACGATAAGCTGCCATCAACAATTAACTAACAAAAAATCTTACTCCGGTCCAAAACATATTTTCCTCCTTCTTAAAGTCACTATATTTGAGGCATCGACGTAGAGTTTGATGGGAAATTTATGCGTTATACCTTAGGAAAGAAATACAAAGTATGAGGGTGTGTAAACGGAGCACGAAGCTCTCCTAATGACATTAGCTTTCACG